ATTTAAACTTTAATGTTTTTAAATATATATATAGTTTGTTTTTCTTTGTACTTGTAAACACATTTAAATCTTTTCATTTATTATTTTTTTGTTTCTTCCCACAAGTCTTTATTTCCATGTGTTGTTTTTACATTTTTCTGTCTCCTGCTTTTACCTTATGCATTTCTGCTTCATTATGCAAATAAGGTGGGCTGCCCTTCTTGGGTCAGCTCCTCTACTATTCATGTGCAGATCTACTGTGCATGCAGAAAAGAAAAAACATACAAACACATGGAAACAAATATATTTAATGAACTGATTCTAATGACAGTTCATTAAAATAAACTGCTGTTCCCATCACTTGCGGCAGCACGAGCGTACACAACTAATCTGTACAAGGATCCTGCTCCTTCYYRTCTTAGGAGGAGAATGAAGACGACCAAATTGTAGTTTGTAAGTTCAGAACATAAACATCTGTTCTGTCGCAAATAATTTGAGATAATAGAAAATAAAGAAAACTTAACAGGTTGAAGAGATATCTACGCAGCACTAGGAGAGACTAAACTGAACTTTTCTTCACTCCTACAYAACATTTATTTAAGGGTTAAAAAGTGGATTTTGCATATGTTTTCTTTAAGGGTAAAAGGAAACTCAAACCTCTTCAACATTGCATTCGTTCTCTTTGCACAAAGTTTCAAGAAGCTGCACGTCGACCTCTGGTTCTGCAGATCGGGATTTGGCTTTGCTCTGGTTGCGGCGAGACGTTCGTGTCAGCGGRCTCTGAACCCTGGTGATGGATGATCCTGCGAGAAAAGCGTCAAAAGCCTTCAAACCATKTAGGCATGTATGTATGTATATCTTTATATATGTATGGGTATGTGTATATATTTATATATGCCCTCCATGTATTTATCCATTTATTTTTCAGGTGAGCGGACAGATGTTGGGTGTGTGGTCCTGTGTTTTGTTGGTGTATATTTAATATCCTTCTAATCGCTATTTCAATCTTTCTAATTACTTTTCTCTCTCTCTATTTTCTCTTCACTTTAAAAAAAAGTCACTGATGATGAAGAAATAAATAAACTAATGATATTTGGTTTCGTTTTCTACTGAAATGACAAAAAAAGCCTTCAAACCAACACGTCTAATTCATGCTTTCCAATGCTAGACAACATATGAGCCTCACCACGTGACACATTTCAGGTTAACGATTCGTTTTAGGAGTATAAAAGCAACGTGTGGTGCATAAAACAACAAACAGGTTTGAAGGAAATGTTGCTGAAGCTCACTGTAAAGAGGCAGCAACAGGTCTGGAGAGCAGCGCTTGATGAACAACTCAAGCGTGCAAAGCAGCAGCTGGAACGATATGACCAGGTCGTCCTCCATCTGCAAGGCTCTTCCTGCAAACAGAACATGACACGAGTCAGCACGAGTTCATTACAAACAACAGAGCTATATAAAAAAAGGTTTTCTGCATAACTTCATTCCCACAGGAACAAATGAATAAAATGAAACATAAATATTTCCACATTGTTTTAGATGTTATGTAAAAACAACATTTTTCTACCTTTGGACAAAAGAAACATTGTCCAGCAGGTCCGCATGGTCTCCCTCTCCCTTCAGATTGAAACACTGAACAGTTACTTCTGCATTTGTTTTTATAAAAAGCACATTATTAAACCGAAGACTGCACATCTGCTGAAGGTGGTGAAAAAAAATACTTACTTCCCTTCAGGGGTCAAAGCAAAGATATTCTTGCAAGTTCTGAAACAAAGAAGGTTTTACGGTTGGGTCGGATTTGTCTGCTCTACTGAAATGAAAAAACTTTTCTTTTTTTTTTCCCTGTCACTCTGTTCTCACTCACTTCTCAAACCTCTGGTAGAGAGCCAGCATCACGTCGAACTTCTTCTCCAGCCGTGTCAGCGCTGCGTTCACTTTGGTGCTTATGGTGTCCAAGTTCACGTCCAACCGTCTCACCAGACCTATGAACTGCTTGAAACTGAAAAAGAAAAAAAAAAGTCAGCTTGAGAGAGATCATTCACTGAAATAAAGAGTCATTCTAGTGCAATTCTATGCACAAGGATTTCTCAAACRTGCATGAAAGAGTCAAAGCAACACTGGGTATGTTTTTGATGAAGGAGTTGCTAACATGAAAGCAGATTTTGCAAAACGTCCTCCCTTTAAAATGAAAACTAGTGATGTCCTGTTGCAGTTGACAGGAGGTGACGTTTGTAGTTCTACAAGTTTGATGGATTATTTAGAAGTTCTGATCATGAAAATAAGAATTAGCTCCACTTTTCAATGTTACTGAACCAAAAAAAAAAATCGAATGTTTGCTGTCAAACAAAATGATGTCTAAAATAATCTGTGCGCGTGGTTTCCTAAACCGAGCAGTGTTCAAATACTGAATAGTGCATGTAATAAGCTGCACTGTGAACACACAAAACCAAAAACTATGAAAAAATGAGAACTTACTTCATTTTAATCACCTTCAGGACTTGAGTCAGAGTAAAACAGCCAACATCTTTGTCTGTTACAGTCACAAACAGACAAGCTCCCCAAAGCTTCTGCTGAGTCTCCTAAAAACATCCAGAACAGAGTAAAAAAAAGTATTCTCCTTTAAGATTTTCAAATATTTAAATAGTTTAAATGATATCTKGTCCAATACAGTTACATGACTTCCTATGAATACATACATCCACTTTATCCATGGATTCCTGGATGGTTTTCCACAGCTCCCAGGCATGATCACAGAGCAGGTCTGTAAYATGAAGGCTCTTACATAAAGTCATGAACTCAGCATCCTTGTCTCTGTGTCTGCAGGGAAAATAAACAAAACACAACTTTAGCTGACAACACAGCCTCAGTGTTGCACTTCTGCCTGGTAGCCTGAGCTTTATGCTCTGTGACAGCATACCTTTAGTTATTATTATAATATTAGTAAACAGTTCTTGTCTGTGATGAGTTGTGTTAGGTTGTATTAGATCTAATAGGCCTGACTTGCTAAGAGGTTAGTCACAAGGTAAAATAATGGGTGAACAATTTGGATAAACAGTCTAATATTAAAAAGAAACCAAACTCTTAGCTGCTGCTGTTGTGTCCTTACTGAAAAATCAAAACTTTTCTTACTTTTCCTCAGATAAGTCTGGACTCTTGTCTGGAGAGGCGCGGCTGTCAGCACTYGGCTTCGGCTCCGGCTTGTTGTTGCTGCCTTTTATCATCCCGGAGTTGCGTTTTCTAGGCGGCATACTACAAAAAGTGTCTGTTTTCCTCACAAGCAACGCTAATAAATGTACACTTGTGGTGGTGGCGTCGTTGTRTAAGCGTAACAGCTAATGTCGCCCAAGTTTAAAACCCAGTGCAAGTCCCCGGAGCAACAATACAACAAAATCCGACGTACTTCCTGAAACCGTTCAAAGATGTGCTCGTTATCTKAACCGGCGTAAGCAGCGGGGAGGCGGTGTCATCGTCTTATCCAGTTTACGATAACAATTCCGTTAGTAAGGCGCTGCCAGATGAGTTTTTTGTCGCTAATCAACTCATATGGTGTCGAAATAAACATTAGATAGCAAGGTAATAGTCAGATTATTATACTGAGCTAAAAGTAGTAAGTGACCACACTGAGCGGTCTTCGGGACGATAYGATAAACAAAAACGAGCTAACCCCAAGCTAGTTAGATGAAAACGCGGGAAAATATATTTACGTATATCCGGTTTCTTTGAATTATGTCTTTTAGGGAAGACACCAGCAGAGGGCGTTAACTATCAACATTGTCTAGTCCTGAGCAGAAGAACTTGCTATTATTACTAGTATTACATACTTGGCATTAAAATGTTCTCCTCGTTGTTTTTGACCGTGCAAATTTATTCTCACAACCTGTGTCGGTTTAGACATTATTCACATGCTTGTCAAATGATTCATTACACAGTAAAATGTGTTTATTTTATTCATCCAGAAATCTGGACCTTACAAAACTTGTCTTATGGAAAGTAAACAAAACCATCTAAGATTTGTTAACCACAATATGGCACTTTGATCTTTTCTGTGTAGAAAACGTTTTTTTAATTGACAAAGTGCATCTAGATCTTCTGAAGCAGGATTTTATTGAAAGGTCTTAAACAACCAACATCTGACTTATTGTAGATGCATCTTTGAGTGAGCTCAGTTGGAGAGAAAAAARAGTTTATTTCTGAWCAGMWTGATGACCAAGGTGGTTTGCTGCCATCTTTAAACTCTAGCACAGCAGGTCATGTGTATGCAAATTCAAAAGCCTTTGCATCAATGCCCGTTTTGCATGAGAATATTATTTTTGCAGGTACATTTTCTGCTCTAATTTCTCTAAGCTGCACTGGAAATGCCACAGCTAGCTGTTGCTGCTGCTATTTAAGTTTTAAGATAAGCACATAAATAACTAATGCAAAACTGACAGCAATGTAAAGCTGTATAAAATAGCATTTGTGTACTTTTTATTCTGAAGTCATTAAAAAAAGCAACAATCCATTATGGTCTCTACTTTGGACAAGCCATTAGCTTGTGATTCTGATCAGAATTATCCTTTATTACTAAAAAATTGATGCTAATCAAAGAGCTATCTACAACAGGTTTAAAATACAACAAGTAYAAATTGTTTATAACCTTTCCACAAAAGCCCACTTAAAAGACGTGAATTATGTCATAAAGGACATTTGAAACCAAGTTTCACTTGAWGAAAAGGATAAATCTTCTATCTTCTCTTTAAAAAAGGCTTTTTTATTTTCAAAAGCTGCACCTATCAGTATAAATGTTATTTTTGCTAGGATGGTCACATAATTGCTTTCTAAATTAATTTGTTAAATTGTTTAATTTTCAGAAGGAAACAAACAGCTGGTTTAAAATGAAAGAGGTCAACCAGARCATCCATCCAYTTTCTTTACTTGCTCCTTCCCACAGAAAACCTGTCTGGCCCAGCTCTGGCCCACACAAGGTACTAACGCTCAGCCTGGATACTACAAAGAATGACGTCCCTTTGGTGGCTCAGACGTGGTTTGCCAGAGGTGGCGCATGACAGATTTGGGCTTCGTAAAGCAAACCACAAACGGGCCAGTTGTAACATATTATTATTATAATTATTATTATATTCCTTATTGCCAAGCCTGGCCCACATCCAGTGGACAAACCACCAGGTCTGGCCCACACCTGTCTGCTATGTGGGTTCTTTGCGGGTTGAAGGCACCTGGCGTCTCTCTCACTGTGAGAGGTGTGGGGGACACCCTGGACAAGTTGCAAGTCCTTCACAGAACCATTCACTCTCACTCCCACCAATTTAGAGTTACCAGTTAACCTAMTGTCATGTGTTTTCTGTCTGTGGGAGGAAACCAGAGAGCACCKGCGAGTGTTTAGGGTGAACATGTAAACTCGACTCAGATAAGCCTCAGACCAGGAGGGGAGCCTGGGACCTTCAGGCTCAGAGGTGACAGCTCGCCCCCAACCAAAACATCTGAAGGTTTCTCTGACACGTGGACGGTACTTAATAAAACTGTTCACACATCATATAAATAAAGGGAATATTCCACACTGCCCTGCACAGTYTGATCAGGAAGAGCCACCAACCGCTGGGGGTCAGTCACAAAATAATAAGTCCRTTTTCCTCTTCACACAGTTTGCTCATTACGAGTCCATCGCTGCTGCTTTACGCCTGGCTTCACATCTCCCACTCCATCCCAGTATAATCCATGTCCGTCAGCGTGACGGTGAACGGAGCCTCCACTATCTCGGGCTCCACGTACTCCTCCCCTCTCTGGGTGTTCAAGTCAACCCTCCATGAATTCAAGGGTCGAATCGATTTCTGGAAACGCTGAAAAACAAACAAACAAAAAAAACAGAGACCATCACAAACCCACACAGTCCACCTGATTCAGTTACAGAGTTGGAGCTGATAGTTTGTGTCAGCTCACTGACCTCTTTCAGTGTTCCAGTTTCTCTGCTGATGGCCACGACGGCCCAGATGAGAATCTGCAGGCAGCAGGTGGCGCCCATGCACGCCCCCAAGGCTTTCCCCCACTGTGGGTACACGTAGGAGCCATAGCGGAGCGGCGTGTTGTACATCTCCATGAAGATGTAGATCAGGATGAACTATAAGACACAGATAAGAGAAAAAGTGTTACGTGAAAGGGCAGGTATTTTGATCCTTCAGCCGCTTCCTGTTTTATTTTTGTGGGTCTTTAGAACGCAGTGCGTCAGCCCTCATCAGATTACTCTTTCATTTGAAACAACAGTACAGAAAGCTTCAGTGGGGACTGGTTGTGAAACACAAAACAGGTTCACGCYACACAAAGAAGTAAAATAATAGAAAAGGTGACATCACTCAGGCAAACAATACAAAATGTCAGTCCTCTGTGTTCATGAGGTATAATTTCATCTCCCAGTAACACTGCAGCTAATAATGGTTACAGTTATAATAAGATACAGTTAAAGCAAAACAAAAGTTCACYCTCTTTCAGCCCTTGAGTTTTTAAACATCATGACATAAAAAAGTTGTTTTTTTAAATCAGGCTCTAAAATTATTCAAATCCAACCTCAGAGGTACAAAAATACACAACTAATTCCACCATGTTGCTAAACAAAACCTGTTCTTTCAGCATCACGTATCATCTTTAGCAGCAACAACCTGAAGCTTTTTATAGGACTTCACCAGTTTCTCATCACTGTGGAGGAATTCTGACCCACTCTTCTTTACATTTTTATTAAATAACATTTACATTTAAATCTAAGAAAGTAGAACACATCACCCCAGTTTTAAACTGGCTCCTTGTATCACAGAGATTAGACCTTAAAGGAAACAAATCAGCTTTTAAATCCTTCTTTTTCACATTTAAATTGTTCAGTGGAACTGCAATGCTTTTTGGTCTAAATTCATCCTAATTTTACCTCCACAAGCCCCTTGTTGTTGAAATGTGTGTCACAATAACACAGTTTTTAATTAAATTTCAAACAAATACTGACATGGTGGGTCTGTTGTTTTTGTTCATGAGGCTAAATTAGAATAATGTAGGAGCTGGTAATGACAAATGACCTTCTTCTTTTTCTCTGGACTGTATTTCACTGCATCTGACTTCCAAGAACACACAGAGCAGCTACACTTTTTCAAAATAAAAGCTGAAATTACACACCTGCCAGTAAAAAATCTGGTATGGTTGTTGTACTCACCAGCAGAAGAAAAGGTGTGCAGAAAACCCAGCAGGCTTTGAAGTAAATCAGCACTTTGCTGCACCATGGAGGGCAGTGACGAATCATATCAATAATGTCCTGGCAAAACTGGTTGACCCCTAAAAGAAAAAAAAACGTTCATCAACAGATGCAGCCTAGACTAGAATATCTTTAGCGTGACAGTAAATACTTTTTTTATTTTAAAGTCTAAAGTTGTAACACGATCAGAGGTCACTTTAATTGTATTCAATCTTAGATTTTTCTACCTGGATTATTGAAATGCATTAGGGTACATCAAGTTGTTCAGAGAGGATGCTAACTACCATAAGCTTCCCTTTTTGCACGTGAAGCTAGCTTACACAGTGGAGCATCTCATGCTCTCCAGTCTTTAAATACAGTAAATGAGTCCTCCAGATGGGAAGCCAAACATCTTTTACTACAGAATAGAAAGCCAGTTGTTTTGGATTGCTTTTTAAGTGGAATGACATCGATGCAATGAGTGTGGCATGATGGTTAGGGTGAAAGTGATACCATAGAAGAAGGAGATGCCAAGGCACATGAACAATGTGATGATGATGAGGCCAAAACTAGTGCTGAAGGAGTCTATGAGGGTGAACCAGTAAATTCCTCCCTGCGAAAACACACACACACAGCTTATCAAGATGCAGACACAACTGAGTTTTCACACAGAATAACGTTGATTAAAAAAAACTCACATCTGTCACTAAGAGGAGGCCCATCAGGTAGAAGACAAAACACAGACAGCCCAAGAATAAGGACTTGTGCAGCGTGTTTCTCCTCAGGTTTGGAAACTCATCCAGCACAGCTGTGGTGATGCCCTCCATGTTGCCAAACTGCGATGCAACAAAACACATTTAGAGGGGAAGGTGTGGGGACATACAGATGTTTGTAATGTGTGTGCCCAATCTTACCAGYGTATCCACCCCGAGCATAAACAACATGAGGAAGAATATAACGGACCAAAACGCAGAACCTGGCAGCAGAGCAAGGGCTTCTGGGTAAGCAACAAAAGCCAGCCCCGGACCTGGAGGCAAGAAWGTGTTATATAAGTCACATGTCAAACTCAAGGCCTGCGGGCTAATTGTGGCCTGCCACAGCATTTTATGCTGCTTTAAAGCCAGCACTGACCCTAAACTATTTCTCCCATACTATTGATTATTTTACCCACAAAATAACGGTATCTCACCACWAGGTGGGGCTGCACAGACTTCAAAGGTAGCTGCCAGTGTCAAAATTTGCTCTGTAAAATCTCCATTTCACTACATTTATGCTGGATGATTTTGCTAAGGCTCAGTTATACAGGGAAGTGKGAATTTCCCACTTATACATAAAATCAAGAACATTGTGGACAACCCTGACCATCCTCTTTATCAGACTGTCATAGAAAGACAAAGTGTCTTCAGTCGGAGTCTTCTTCAACTTCGCTGTAACACAGACCGCTACAGATGATCTTTCCTGCCCACAGCCATCAGCTTATAGTATTTATGTTTTTTTTTATTTCACATTTAGTCAGTTGTACATGTAGTACTTTTTAGTGTTTATAAGAGGAAGTGTTAAAACTCTGTTCCTATGCAGGAAATACCACGTAGAGCTCAGTTATTATTTGTTAGCAATGCTTAGCAGTAGCAATGACACGAGGAATCGGAAGTTTTGTGTTTAGCCAAAGTTAAACATGAAACATCAAAGTTAATTACAACTGGCCCTTTGAGGGTCCCCATAACGCTCATGTGGCCCTCGRGGAAATTGACTTTGACGCCCCTGATTTAAGTGATAAAATGTCCTAAGATAAGTCTGAAAATGTGAATTAAAACAAGCACAGTACCTGTATCGGCCACCTCTCCGACAGGTACGCCCTTTCTCCACGCCATGTGACCCAGGATGGAGAAAATAGCAAATCCTGCGAAGAAGCTTGTGCTGCAGTTTCCTAACGTGATAACGATAGTGTCCCTGACGTTTAAAAAAAAGGGGGATCAAAAGATTGACTCAGACAACAAACAACAAAAGCAAACAACAAAAGCAAACAATGCAGCAAACTCACCTGATGACGTTGTTGTCAAACTTATTGTAAGACGCCATAGAAAGCAGTCCTCCAACGCCGATACCTAATGAGTAAAAGATCTGCGAGGCTGCGTCATTCCACACCTGCAACGTTTCAGACAGAAATTTAGGCCAGACCTACAAAGAAGGTTCAACAAATCCAGGGTTTCTTCAGGGTAGCTGGATTATCTAACCCTAAAATGTAAGACCTCACTTAATGGTATTACAAAGCTTTCAACTAGGATGTCAGAYTTTAGATAAGTCCTGAATCACCCAGAATACACTTCTTCAAAGTGYTGAACTGAGAGGAAGTTTCAACTTTGTTGTTTTTATTTTTTACTTTTAAACACGCTTTGCAATGGACAAAACCAAAAACAATCCAGTGACTGAGCTCCATAAAATGTCATCTTCTGTCTCACAGACAATGCTACGCAAAGTTTTAAATCTGACAAGTACAATACACTCAAACATGAAAGTTTTTTTTTAATATGTATACAAGCGGAAAGCAAACCTTTTATGGTTCAATGGCACTTTACAAAAAATAAAAAATAAATAAAAAAATCAAGAATAAAAATTAGTTCCTGATCTTCAGCAGCTAACAGGAACAAACAACCTGCTTCTGTTTTTGACAAAATAAGCCTCATTTCTGTTGAAATACCTGTGGCTTTTTGCTCAAAGGCAGAAGTAAAGATGTAACTCACAAGTTACAACTCAGGAGAGAAATAATCATTTGATTTATTTATGTACTTAAAAGGACAGGGTGCATTATAATCCAACAAAATACAGATAAAATGCAGATTTGTGATGCTCAAAATCTTGAACGTTTTAAGTCCCTAAATCTGAATCTTCCAGCTGAGCTCAAGTCTGCTAACGTGGTCCGGTCCAGTTCAGTCCAGCTCTGCAGAAGAAGCTGCAGGGTCTGGGTCTCTCACTGCTTTGTGCTTAATTACTGTATGTTTTTGTCCGTGTTTCCATGAGAGAAGTTTTTTGTTCAATAATTTGTTGATTTTCACCTTGCTGCTTGTCTTTATGTKTCTATCTTTGTAAATTAGGTCTTGCAGTGTAAAGTGAGTTTACATGTAAATAAAAACTCCTCTTGTGTGCCATCTACCTGTGCGTTCGCCAAGCGGCTCCAGTCCGGCGTGAGGTAGAAAGCAACGCCTTGCAGCGAACCCTCCAGCGTGGCTCCTCGGATGATCAAAACGACGAGGACAAAGTATGGGAAGGTGGCCGTCACATAAACCACCTGAAAACACCGACAGACGCACATTAGAGCAACAAAATAGACCAGAGAGAAAATTGTGGCAGTTTTCAGGTTGAAAGCTAAAAATAAAACAAAAAAAAAACACCAGAATTTTTTTTTAATTCACCTTCCCCGAGCTGCGGATGCCCTTCAGAATGCAGAGGAAGATTATAATCCAGGCAGCCAGAAGGCACAGGGCCAGGGGCCACCGCACAGGGCCGGGGTCATGAAGACCCTCACTGTTAACTACACCCAACACGTTCTCACTACGAGATGAGCAGACATAAAATATAAATAAATCACAGCTTCTCCTCACATTTTAAATGAGACAAAAAAAATTAGCTGCTTCATTTATGAGTAGAGCTAACATTTTCTTAAATTATTTAACAATAAAAAAAGAATTACTTACATTTTGATAAATCTATTCTCTTTAATAAATAAAAATAAAAGCTTYCTACAATGTCATTWTTATTTTCTGGGTAGTTTATCAGACCTATAATAAAACACAGTGTTTGACGTATTAAAAATGACTTTACATTAATGATTAACTTTGCAAATTGAGAAGTATTTAAAGTTCACACTATTATTAGATGTTATACAAGCTGTAAAGTTCTCCAACTTATTAGTTGAAAAAAAAACAGGTTTGAAGGGTTTGTTTTTGGCAAACAAACTTATTTGAACCTCTTTAGTTTGGATTATTAAAAACAAATACACAGAAAAGACATTAAACACAGAATTACTTTTAGTTTAGTCACATTTTAAATAAGCTGAAGCTGTGCATTTTTAACCGTGCAAACCAAAGAACTTACTTCCAGAAAATCTCAGTGGGGCTGCGTGCTTTTTCAGAGCCRTTCCCAGCAGCAGAGGCGTTCCCACAGACGGCTGCGTTAGCCTTAGCATCACACGACCAGGGCAGGGGGCTCTGAAAGGAGCTGCCCAGGTAGTAAAACGTCCACGCTATGATCACGTTATAGTAGAGACACACTAATGTGGACACACACAGCATCCCAATTCCAATGCCTGCAAAAGAAAGACAAAAAAAATAAAATAAAATATAGGACACAAGTACCTCATTAAGTTAAAAACACTTAAATAAAACAGTAGCTGTTAGAAGATATCTGCAGAATTTAGTTGTTAAATAAAAACATTTGGATCATAATTAGGCACAGTTTTATTTTTTACCAGCTTTTTACCTTCTGAGTTAAAGAGACGATGCATTAAGGCTGGGGTCACAAAGTTTGTTCAGGGGCAATTTTTTTCTTAAACTTTGCAGGGTCCAAATTTTGATGATGACATTAATGAAAGAATGAAACAAAAATCCTCAAATATTTAGACTTAATTATTATTTTTATTAATAAGATGCTGTGATTTATTAAAATATAATCATATACTGTATTTACCGTAATTATATTTAATATGTTAAACTTCTTGCAAAATTAACAGGTGAGAAATGACGGTTCAGAAGACATGGTGACCCAATGTGATCCAAATTGTCAGGACATTGTGTGTTAAATGTGTGCCATTCTGAATGTTGTTTCACGCTGTAACATTTTAGACAGCTTAGGAAAATTTTGTCCAACGCTGACGGTGCCAGCTCCCTTTTGAAAAATAGGTGGCGTATCTCAACGAGGTTTTTATCTGATTGAATAAAAGAATATATCTATAAAATTAATAAACCAATTTGTTAAACACAAAGCAAAAGGCTGACGAGGCAGAAACTACAAGAAGACTGGAAGGAAACACGATAATTATCCAAAACTGGATCATTTCAAGCTGTTTGCTGTTTTCTAATTAATCATAAACATATAGTCAAATGAAGCTACCACCCTGTTTATTTCTGAAACACTGGGTGGTCCGAGACGCTCAGAGGAGATCATTACCTTTAAGCAAAGGACAACATTTCCACACAGTGATGGGACCGGCTGCACCATACTGGCCTAAACTCAGCTCCATGAGGAAGAGAGGAACCCCCGTCACAAACAGCATGATGAAGTAGGGGATGAGAAACACACCTGTGAAGATCGGAAAGTCTTAGGAAGATTGGTGCTTGAGGAAAAAAAAAACTATAAAATCACAAGAATATTATGTGCATATGGACAGCCTGTAGAGACATGTTGACTTTTAACTGCAGCTTCGCAGACAGATCTTATTCAGCTGTTCATCGAGCTTCAACACATCTGATTTCAGGTGAATTGTGCATAAAGCTACAAAAAGAGGCCGTATGTCTGAAGTGTAATCAAGGAAAAAAAAAACAGTGCTTTGAAGATCGGGTAAATCCTCTGTGATCTAAGCTGCCATAGAAAACTCTGGGCTAAATCTGCTAAATGCATCACCCTGATTGAGGAAAGCACACACCCAAGAGTTAAGCAAAGACAGCYTCTTGACCAGACTAGTGTAACAACTTGTTTCAGACACACACCCAGGCATTAAAAGCATTTAAGACTTAAAAGGACATGCTTCGAAACCGCTCACCTCCTCCATTACGATAACAGAGGTACGGAAACCGCCACACGTTGCCCAATCCCACGCAGTATCCGATACAGGACAGCAGGAACTCGTACTTCCCACCCCACTGCTCCCGTGGGATGACGTCGGGACTCGGGGCTCGGGGCTCAGACTGCGGCTCTGGAGACGTTGCTGGATGGTGGCCGTTCTGAGCCACGGTATGTCCATTCTGATACGATGAATTCTTAAAGACAAAGTACGGTTGACGTTTTACCAGAGAAATCCTTGTCTATGGGAGAAATCCCAGACGGTGCAGAGAAGAGAGATTCGAATTGAGCGAAGGCAAGGGCCAGGCTAGATAACACAGGGTTATCACAGTAATAAATTACATTATCAAGTATTTATTTCAAGCATTTGTTGGTTACAGCAAGAACATTTTGTATGATCTAACTACTTGTTTTAAAAGCATCTAATGGATTTAATTTCCCTTCCTGCAATATRTTAAAACTATAAAGAAGAGAGGAACTATTTTCTTCAATGAAGAGAGGAACTTGATGATGGAGACAGGCGTAAAGCTTCTGCTTTCTGTGTTGTCACTGTAATTGGTCAGCTTTTCAGTCACGCATTAGGATTTTTTTTAATACTGTATAATTACAATTTTGTTTCAAAAATGTTACAATTTGAGATATTTTACAAATTTAACTATAAACAAAACAGGGAACAGATCACATTGTGACAGCATGTGGTGGAATAAAGAAAGACGTTAAGAATGTTGTTTCTCATGGAAATACAATGATGAGGAATAGGTGTACTAATTGTATATTATTTTCTCAGAGGTCAAATAAACATGTTCAACTTGATTTAATGTACTAAAAAAGTTCATTATTGTTACCATAATCTGGTAGATCACTGCAAACAGGAAGAGCAGGTCTCTGTGATAACAACTCAATCAGCTTTCATCTCTTTGTTATTTATATATACAGTTTTTTGTTTGTTTTTTGTTACAATAAATTAAAATGTTTGTCATTATTTTGTTAATTATTTTGGGTGGGGTGGGGTGGGATCTTTTTTCTTTTGGGTTTAAGGTACCTAAATCAGGAGAAACAAGCTAAAATAAAGAATAATGTTTACAAAAACATTAGTGACTCTTTTAGCTTCACTTTCCTTTTAAAAGAAATAACATGTAACGAGATAACTTGAGAAAGTCTTGCGTACGCACATCCATTTAAAAACAGATTGCAGATGTTCCGCCTGTACCGGTGTCCTTGAACGCACCACGAATGCGGACAGACAGGTTTGACCGCCTCCTGATGAGGAGTTCACTGTCGGTATCGAGTCCCGGCAAGTTAAAGTACCCTCACAAAAAGCTTAAAATATTATATTAGTTATAGTTTCAACCATAGCAGGGTGATTTTAAAGTGAATAGAGCTCCACAGACCTCCTGTCTCTTACCTGCGCTGTGCTGCCTCCTCCGGCGGGGCTCCCGGCTGCTGTTTTGCCGCTTTTGTCCTGCATTTCCTCCCGGCGGAGCGGCAGTCTTTATTTTATTTATTATCCTTTAACTCCACATTTCATTCCGGAGAGGGAGACGCCGAGATGCTAAAGTTTTTAGAGGCCAGTCGGTGAAGAGAGGCAGAGTCTAGACATCAGTGATGACGATGACGAAACTGGGCGGCTGGCGTTGAAGGTGAGGGGCGGGGACACGGAGCGCAGGTGCCGCATACAGGAAGAAGCACCGCCCGCTCCTTGAACGCCGGGCGGACTGGAAGAAAGGATGTAAACAAACTGGGTAACTAGGGCCAACGTGAGGTAAACAGAGTCATGTCTGGGTGGGGGTGTAACTAAATAAATAAAATCAACAATACCAGAAGCATGGGGTTTTATATTGTGACTTTATTTTGACTGAAACATAATTAATCTTTAGAGCAGGACCAGTCAACTGGCGGTCCGCGGGCCACATCTGGCCAAATGTGACTTCAGTCCAGCCCGCCAATGAGATATTATTATTATTATTATTATTATTATTATTATTATTATTATTATTATTATTATTATTATTATAATTATTTGGTTGAATATAAAAATAGATTTTAAATCAATTCTAATTTTTTCTCTGATTGTTTTTTTATTTTTTATTTTTTAACATAATGCAGTGTTTCCCCTACCATTATCAGACAACATGGAAGTCCAGCCCCATGAGTAGTTTAGTTGAATAGCCCTGCTTTAGAGTATTGGTTCCCAAAGTTGAGGTCAGGGTCCCACTGTGGGTCACAAAAGATTGAATTAGGAGTTTTGTGATAATATCCAAAAAGATGAGCTTGATATTTCTGCTATATTAATTCTAATTATTATCATTATTGCAGCACATCATTTGTTAGAGACTTTTTTATTTACTTAGAAGCAGTTGTTGCAACATTTAGCACTTCAAGACATCTTGGATAACACACAGGAGGAGTGTCTAAATATTACAAGTTGTTATGAGGTGGAGTATGGAGGTGAAATATAAATACTGTAGTTTGGTGAACATTTGAAACACTTGTTTTTACTTTCTTTTTTTGTTTTTCTACTTTGTTTTCAACAGTCTTGTGTTTGAGGTAAAATGTATTTGTAACTTTAGATTTTGGTTCACTTCTTTTCTTTGCAGAAAACACAAAAAATGTATAAAATATGATATAATAAAGTAATAACAAATAAACTGGAAATGAACAAGTTTTGCAGCTTTTTAATATTGAGTCAATAACATCATCAATGCTTTTTAAGTAGATTTAGTGTATTGTCTGTGGCAGGTGACAAATATTATCATGACTCTGAAATATAAAACAAGATTTAACAAATTATTTCTTAATGAGAGGTGTTGCAGAACAGAGAATTAAAAACTGTAACAGGCTTTAAAACACGCTGGATAAAGTATGCAAAGAAATAACATGCATGAAGAACAGTGGGAGGTATAAAATCAACTGGGTACAGAACAAAAGGAAGACAGTAAATACACCTGACAGCAATAAACAAGGGGGAAGTAACTCTAACAGAAGCAAAGAACAGGACCATAAAAAACAAACGACAGAATCTTAACTAATTCCTTCAAGAAATACAGATAATTTCAAGTAGATTGTTTTTAAAAAAGAGACAATTTTTTATGATTTAAAGCATCACGATTGATTGTCACGATCCCCAAAAGCTCTGCCAATTAAAAAGTGACTCCAAACCTTTTAAAGCTAAAGTCACTCCTGATCACTCGAGTTAAAGTGGGAAGATTGAGAAATTTAGGTTTAACCCAGGTATGACAGAAGCTGTAAACTTTGTATTAATTTGCCTGTGCATGTGGAAGTGACGATGAACCAACATGAGTTTGTCAAGAAAACTGAATGACTCAGGTATTTTCAAAGCTGCTAACCACAAACACTCAGCAAAACTACATGAAAACCAAAGTTAATGGAAATGTTTGGTAGATTATTTCTTTGTTGTAACAATGTTTTCTTAGTAATAAATCTTATACCGTTGGAAAGCCTGTTAATTTCCCTTTTAAACAGAGTCACATTAGTAAGGAACATGCATTTGTGGGATGAGCAGACTGCATACAAACCAACATGCTGTCAGAATGTGAAATTTATATTTCTCATCCAACCATAATTAAATTCACTCTATCCTGGACGCACCATCTAGGTAAGTTTAATTTTATTTATTTTTAATAAAAACAAAATGAAACAGGAATAACAAGGCTATTTTTAAAAAGTAAGGAAGTAAAAAGTCCAGTGTTGTATAAAGTACCTCAAAGTACTTGAGTAAAAGTACAAGTATCTTACCATAAAATTTCTTTAATAAAAGTTCAAGTCTCCTCTAAGAATATTACTTGAGTGAAAGTCTTAAAGTATCTAATATATTTTGTACTTAAGTATCAAAAGTAAATTTCTGACCTAAAATGTACTTAAGTATCAAAAGTAAAACTATTGAGTAGAAATGAGTGGCTAGACTTCCCTAAATGACATTTATTGGGAGTTGGTGAGACCCTCAAAAACGTTTTTCTAAAGGCCAAAATGGCTATATTGTCATTTAAAAATGTTAATGTTAAAAAGTTAGTATGCACTAGTCATATATATAT